AAGGATAACCACATTTCACAAGGATCCCAGGGCAAAGCAAAGCTGTCAGTCGCGCAGGGAAGCAGATAATGCATTCTAGGGATGGGAAGACCAGGGGCGCTGTCGTATGTACTGGGGACATGAAGAAAACCGCCTTCTTTGAATCCAAGGAGAAAGGAAGGTCAGTGAGAGGAGCTCCCAAAAACTCTGGTTCAGGCCCTCTTCCACTTGCCCCCAAACCAGGCTTCTCCCTTCTTGGCCAACTTCCCAGCTGAGCTGGTGGATGCTGACAGAGTCTGGCTCCATTAGGAGTGGTGCACAGGTGACACGCATGACGTAGATGTGGAGGGGAGTGTGGGGGCCCTGGCGGACAAGCCCGTGGGCTGTCCTGGAACCTGCCAGATGTGGCCTCCAGCTCAAAGGTATCCAAATTCTAGGCCACGACTGGACCCAGACCCCTCTCAGGGGCAAGGGACACAGTGGGATGGGACACAGGCCATCCAGACCTCACTGGGACTTTGAATCTGCTGACCAGCTGGGAAAACGAGAATGGAAGGGCTCTGCTTGAGGGTAGGGCTGGGCCTGGATGACTCAGGTCTGCTTCTGGTGACGGGAACAGTCCCATCCTCTGGGACAGCTTTCTGAGGTGGGAGCCCATCCACACAGGGGTTGGCAAATGAGGACCTATAGTGTCCCCACAGAATCCAAAGCGCCTTCTGCCCAAGTGGGCACCATAAAAAGGGGGTGCAGAAACACCGGGCACTCCTCCCAGCTGGCTGTGGCTTTGTCGGGCTGTCTCCCCATGATCCACGGGTGAGCTGGGATGGGGACCCGGCAGCCGAGGTAAGAGAGTTGGGGACTTGAGGTGGGATATTGGACAGGGACATGGCAGGAACTGTTGAGTACCCGCTGCTCAGGGCTGGGCCCCTCTGCCCAGGTGGCCTCGGAGACACTCCCACTGCCCAGCTCAGCCCAGGGAGCTAGGACCCGGTGCCAAGCAGCTTCTCTGCTTGACAGGAATGACCTGGGGTCATTAAACCTCTGCCCAGAGGCTCACGGGGGCTGTGGATCTGGGCTGGTCTGAAGCTTTCATGTGGGTCCCTCAGCAGTCAGGGGCCTTGATGGACACAGAGTCCCTGATGGGTGAGGAAGAAGGGGGCCTGGGCTGTGCCAGGCCCATGGCACCAGACTCTAGAAGGGTCCTTGGGAGGGAGCCCAGCATGAGAGGAAGTGTTGCAGAAGCCTTGGCACTTCCTGTGCAGGGGTGGGCCCAGCTAAAGGTTTAGGGCCCACGTGGCAGGGGTCGGAGGCCCCAAGGGAATGGCAGTACATAGAAAGCAAGCCTGGTGTACAGGGCATGGGATCGGTGGAAGTGGGAGAGGCCTCCTCACCCGTCCTGGTAGACCAGACACTTGGGATCAGAGGCGCCAACAAGACCAGAAAGGTCTAGGCTAACTCCAGATGGAAGAGGTCCAGCTGGCAACAACCGGAAAGGACTGGGCTACCAGAAGCTGGGGGCATTCCAGTGGTAGGGTGGTAGCGGACAGGGCTGGGAGACCTGATGTGTCCTTGCTGTCAGCAGGTGGCAAGCTAAGGGGTGGCAGTGAAGGCTGGATAAGGCGACCCTGGCTCTTCTATACCAGCAAGGTGCCAAGCCTCACAGAAAGGCAGGCAGGGCCCAGGTCTGTTGGGGAACCCAGGCCTCTTTGAGTCAGGGCTTTCTCCTGCCCACTCAAGGTGGATGGGAACCCAGGAATAAGGATGCTTCAGGATGAAGGGCGGAGGCTGACGAAAGCCTCTGGTGTCTATGCTGAGGGGCCCCAGACCAAAGCTCCTGTTCTTCTGACAGGGTGCTCAGGTCTGGGAGGTTTATACGGTTTGAGGAGAAGCCGCTGCCAAGCTTGGAGTCCCAGGCTCTGAACTACGGGTAGGAGGGGAACTTGCTCTGTCCCCATCACCCCCATCTGAGGAGAGGTCTGTAGATTTTATCTGGTGGCTAGTGAAGAAGCAGGGACCCTCTGCTCCGGTCTAGTAATCATAGGAGGGGCCTCTTGAGGGTCTTTCAAGGGACTCAGGGGCTCAGCACTCTCTTCCCTCTTCCCAGGAGCCCAGGCTCTCACTGCCCCAAGAAGACACAGAAGCCTGGGAGCTGGGCCCCTCCAAGACTGAGGCAGAGGCAAGAGAGCCTGTCCAGCTAAAGATGAGAGAGGAGGGGGTCTGCAACACCTTCCCCTGCCCTGGGGCCTGGAAGGGCTGCACCCGGCTGGGCTGGGAAAGGTACCCAGGAAAGGGGTCTAGAGAGCACACAGGACCAGAGCCAGCAGCAGGGCTCAGTGCCCCCTGACTGGGGTGTCCCTGTGGCCTTCCTCAGCTGGGGCTGGGGTGGAAGGAGCAGCAGGCATGGGTGAGGGGTGGCCCAGGGGCTGGAGCTAATAACTCCCACCTCTGGCAGGACTGTGGGCTCAGAAGAGGCACATTCAGGCAGGTGGGTTGGGCCCTGCTCCATTTCCCCTATGGGGATTTCAGGACACCCAGCCCATTCACCCCAACCCCCTTAGTGAGAACTAGGCAGGGCTGGAAGCACCTGGAGGTTACCAAGGGGGTCTTCATAATCCCCTAGTCAAGCAGAGCCTTGCACTCTTCCTTCCCCTCCCCAGTGACACAGGCTGGAGACAAAGCTGCCCCCTGCCACCTACCTTGCAGGCCTGAGGCTTAATTCCTGGCGGGGAATTTAGCAGGCTTGGCTCCTCTGCCTCCTACTGGGTCCAAGCGCCAAGTAGGGCCACCGGGAGGCAGAGCCTCATTCAGGCCTTAGGTCCACTTGAGCCCTATCCTCCCTTTTTCAACTCAGGCCAGAGACCTACATGTTGTCTAGTGAGGCCACCTGAGGCAGAGAGAAGCCCAGTGAGCAGGTCTGAGCTCAGCCGCTAGGGCGAAGCAGCGGCAGGTGCAAAGCGTTCTTGGCCTCCCGGCCGGCTCAAAAGCCCAACACTGGACCTGCGGCGTCTTGACACAGCTCCTGCTTGACACTTGATGTGACCAGCAGCAAGTGAGGGGACCTGTTTCTTCATCTGTCACCTGAAGAGAGCTGTCAGCATTACTCAAAAGGATCCCTGAACCCCTGACCCAGGATCACCGTGGGGGCTGGGTTCAAACCCAGCTTTCTGGGCTCTGCTGAGGGTTCTTGGCGGGGCCTGGACAAACATTTTCCAGATGATTCTGTGTGAGAAGAGTTACCCCAACTCAGAAGCCTTGGACAGTTACAGGGGAACTGCAGGGCCTGAAGAGCCATGATCAGCCAAGGTAGAGTGGGCCCGATCTGGCTTCGCTGAGAGGTGGGGGCCACTGACACCCTCCACTGTCAGCCGTCCACGCCCTGACTGAGGCACGGAACAGGCCTTATGAAAACCCCTGTGAGGGGCGGGAGCACAGCCTCCCTCAGGTGCGGTCCTGGGCAGTGTCATCCTTGCCATCCCAAGGCTCCCAGGCCAGAGCTGTCTCCTGGAAGCAGCCCCCTCCCCCAGCAAGGTCCAGGGCCAGGACACTGAAACCCAGCCTCTGCACCATGGAGGCCCTGTAGTGCCACAGCAGACGGGCAGGTGCCCCTGGGTGCTGAGCAGCTCTGCCTATGCCAAGGCCTCAGAGCCCACCCAGGGCCACCCCGGGTGGGCTCCCGGCGAGAAGTGTGCCTGCCAGGGAGCAGGGACATGGTAGGTGGGCAAGCAAGTGTAGGAAGAAGGCAGGGAGGGAAGGAAGAAAAGGAAAAAGGAAGAGAAAAAAAAGAAGAAACAGAGCCAAATCCAGAAGGTTTCGACAATGAGGTGGATAAAGTCGACGGGGTGGCAGAGGGCCTGGGGGTTCGGTGACTTGACCCATGTTGTCACCCATCTATGCTCCCCACTCAGGTAGCCTCAAGTGAAGCAGACAGGCTGCACTTCAGCTCTCCAGGAAACAGGTGCCCTATAGCCCCTAGCCTCCAGGCTGTGGGGCTGAGCAGGCTGCTTTCCCCTTTCCAAATATTCCCCCAGGCCTACACACACGCTCTTCACCTTACTCCTGGTGCACTTCTCCCTCGCTTTTACCTTCTTCCTCCCTGCCTCTGAGGCCCACTACCGGCATCTCTTCTGGGATCCAGGGACACTTCCTTGTCCCCAAGCTAGGTCAGGGCCCTGTCGAGCTTCCACAGCCCGCTTCCCCGGGTTCTGTCACTGTGGTGACCACATGTTGGGAGTTGCCTCTCTCCTGGCCTATGCCCTTCACGGGCCGGGGAAATCCTCGGGCCTGAACAGGCAGCAGGGCAATGGTGGCGGCCGCTCGGCATCCTGGCAGCCGCCAGGAAGTCAACGGCCTCGTGCAATGCCAGGCTCCAGCTGTCAGCAGGCGCAGGAGGGATGCTGTAACTGAGCTCCGGGAAGGCTCACGAAGACTGGGGTTGACCCGGCAGGCCTGACCGGTCCTAGTGGGCTGGCCCTCGGTCTAGATGGGATGGGAAACCAGGAAGCCACCCCAGCAAGTCCCGAGAACCAACCTCTGCAGGGAGATCCCAGCAGAGACAGGGTCTCTGGAGGGTGTACCCAGAGTCTCCCCACAGCAGCTAAGGTGTGAGGAGCTGTCCTTCCGCAGGATGGAGTCACCAGCATGGGGGCGGGGTGACAGCACTGTTCTAGGGATGCCTTAGTGAGCATGTCCTTGGTGCTGGAGAGGGGCACACGCTAGGGAGCGGTGACCAGCACTTCTCACTGGGACAGTGCGCCACAGACCCAAAGACCACCAGGACCCCCAAGGGTCTCGGGAGGAGGGCTTTCCCTGAGCAGGGGAGTGGCCACCCAGCGGGCGTGTGACTAGGACCCACGTGGCCACAGCTAGTCAGCACAATGGTGCCAGGGAGCCTCGACACCTTCTGGGCTGGGAGCAGGGAGAACTGCCAAGGACTAGGTGATGGCCTATTAAACTTGAGACCCCACACCCCCCGACCCAAACACACAGCCAGGCCTCAGGTCCAAAAACAACCCAAATGCTTTAATGTTTAATGGCCTGCCTCCTGGGCCCACAGCCTTCTTACAAACCTTAGCCAGGCCAAGGGCCCAGCTTGCCAGCGTCTGCTTCAGTTTAGTACTCTGTGAGGAGGTCACTCATAGCAGGCGTGACTGACGGGGCTCTGGTCCCCAGTCCGTATCTTCGAAGACCTCCCAGGATCCAGCTGTCATTCAGCCTGTCTTGTCTAGTCCCTGAGTCCCTGCAGCTGCTTGGCTTCTAGCAAATATACCACTTTCTCAGGAAGATGCACCAGGGGGACAAGGCAGCTCCAGGAAGTTACTGGTGTCAATTCAGGACAGGCCTGGGGCCTCCCAGAGGTGAAAGCAGCAGGCCCAGAACAAGGATGTCAGCCCCAGGCTGTATCTGGGCACCCCCTGTAGTGAAGGGAGGAAGGAGCAGGCTCCCCAGAGAGCTTCCAGGCTGGGGAGGGTCAGGGCCCAACCCCAGACTTTAGGGCATAGCCCCAGGCTTTCCTGGGAAATGACTCTAGAAAGTGTAAGTCATACGCACTGTACACTGTATCACCCTAAATAACCAAGTCCTATGACACAAAAAGACTTTCTAGAAGGTTCTACTTGCCTTAGCCTCCTATTCTAGGCCCTGGCTGGGATCTAGGCCCCCGTCCTGGGGAGGGAGCAGAGAGCAAACCTTAATGGGTGTGTGTCAGGCATCACCCCCACAACAACCCTGTGAGGTAGGCTGCGTTGTCCTATCTTACAAACTGGGAACTGAGGGCTCAAGGGAGGAAGTGACTTGCCTGGTTACACAGCAAGAACACAGGAACCCAAGGATTCAAGCCCAAGTCTGTTGAGCTCCAAAGCCCACACATTTTCTCTAAGGAAGAAACAGGAAGTAGTCCTTTCTAATAAAAAAGGCCCTCAAGTAAAAAGTTCAGGGGCTCTCAGCCCACTACGGGGTGGGGGTGGGGGGCAGCAGAGCAGGAGAAGCTCCAATGGCATGTCCACTCCTGGCCCTGGGCAGCTGGCCTTACAAAAGGTTGGGGTCCAGACAGTGACCCCCACACAGCAGCTGTCCAAACAGCCACCAAGGCTACAGATGATGGCTTTGGCCACCCAGCACCTGTGGGTGGGGCACAGACCGATCCGGCCCTGAGGCCTTATGGCCCCAAGTGGGCAGTGCTAGGCCACTGAGCCAAGCAGTTTCCAGCAGGCTGCGGAAGCGGGCCCTTAGTGTGGGGCCGGGGGGTCTGGTGCTGGCAGCAGGGGTAGGGGAGGTACCGTGGGACCCTTCCCCAGCGGTTGCCTCTGCTTTCTCTGGGCCAGGGGTTGGTGGCTTCCTCCCTGGCTTCCTGGCCTTGGGGACAGGTGACTTCCAGGCCAGGGCTAGGCTCTCCGGCTCATCTCTGGCCATGGTGGGTTCTGAGGAGGGCACAGATCCAGCCTCAGTGTCAAAGTTACCTGGAAAACGAACACACAGTCAGGCCGCAGACCCCAACACCCTCAGGTCCCACCTCCTGGCCTCCAAAGCTACCTAGACCAGTGGTTCCACTCTGCCTCAGGCCTGGAGGGCCCCAGCAGGGTCACGGGTCATGCCATCATGACTTCCCCATGTGTGCCGGAAGCCGAAAGGTGTGCTTCTACCCAGGTGACGCCAGGGCTCTATCAGATGATGGTATTGCTCAGGCAAAGCATCTGGTCCAAGAACCAAAGGAAAAGGGCCAACAAGACAGGAACCACTGGCCTGTACAGGCAGGGAAATTGGGGCATGGAGAGAGGGGGCCCTGTTACACCTAAGAGTGGCATCCTTCTACCAGACCACCCCCAGGGCCCAGGAGTGGAGGAAGCAGCAGAGGGGGCAGGAGAGGGCTTCTGACCAAGAGCATACCTCGTGGCAAGTGAGGCTGTCAGGGAGAACACGAAGGACACCCACAGAAGGTCCACCCTCCCCGGATCGGGGGAGGACTCACAGCTCAGGGAGGGAGTGACTGGAGCACCAAATCTAGCCAGCAACAGGAAGAACCTGGGTCCCAGTCAGTTCTGCACTAGGCCCCAGACTCTTCCAAGCTTGGACAGGGGAGGAGGGGACTGTGGAGTGCCCAGCAGGCAGCCCAGAAAATACGGCCCTGTCTTCTCTGGGCTTGACAGCCCAACTGTCCAGGGAGAAGACTGGGTTGGAGCCTCTGAGCCATGCATGATACCCCTCACTCCACTCCACCCACCCCCCCACCGCCGTTCAACAACACTCCCGCGTACATTCTCTTTGCACCCATTTGGGCAAGTGCTCCAACTTAAGTGCTCAGGAGTAAGCAATGCTTGTCCCCTAGACCCCAAGTTCCACATGTATGCCTCACTGCCTCGGGCGCCTTCCCCACCCTGACGTGGAGCCAGGACAAGGTAAGGGCCCAGGGCAAAGTTGCCAGGTGGTGAGGGGACGAGAAACCATTCCCATAGAGACACAGCACAGACAGAGCTTGGTGGCAGAATGGCGGAGCATCGAGGGAAGGCTACAGAGCAAGTCACAGGCCTCAGGCCTCCATGTGCCAGGTGTCCTGATGGACAAAAGGCCACGATGGGCACACCTGGCACCATCAGCCAAGTCCCAGCAGGAGTGAGTGTACACAGCACGCAGCAGCTGCCCAGAGCAGGGCCAAGCGACCTAAGTTCATGCTGCTTCAGAACAGAAAAAGAGCAAGCTGGAGAACAGTACACATGAGACGTCTTTTAGTACGGGAAAAGCAAACCAGGAACATCGCTCCAACTTATGGGGGCGCTTCTGTGACTATAAATACTGGGACAACTAAAACACGGCACATTCAAAAGGCAACTGTGTTCGGAGGGAGAAGGGGACCCCTGCCTACTGTCGGGAATCAGGTACTATTTACTGAAGGGGAGAAGGTGGGGTGGGAGGCAAAGGATTTAAGGGAAAGCTTAGGAGTGTGGGTCTGGGAGGAGTTAAGGGTCGGAGAGATACTGAGTGCAAAAGGCCAGCATGCATTTAGTAATTCAGGGCTCAAGCTCAGAAGAAGGGAAGCCGGGTGGGACACAGACACAGGAGGAAGAGACCTCAGATAGAGAACAGGGCCTCATCAGAGCCCTAGAACCCAAAGGAGAAGTCTACACTGAGGTGGGAGAAGGCCCAGCAAAGGAGGGAAGCTGGAAAGCTGCAGCATCGGGGAAAGTTAAGTTTCCACGGGGACAGAGCAGCAGGCCTGCTCAGAGGCTTAGGGAAGAGGCCATGAAGGCCCCGGTTGTGCCAGGGTGAGGAGGGATGGGGGGTGGGAGTGGGGGTGGGGGTCCACAGGGCCTCCCCGGGGATGGCCAGGCCCCTCCGCAGCACCAGTTCTTGGGCTCCCCTGCCCCGAGTCCCAGGCAGTCCCTTGGCCCGGCTGTGACCACTCACACAGCCCACACACCTGTCACTCGTTCGTTCACACAGCTCCGGTGGCTACTGGGGCCGCCCCATGCTCACCCAGCTGGCGGCGGACACAGTCCCGCCACTGCAGGCCCAGCAGGTCGGGGTAGATGTCAGGCAGCTGGCGCAGAGCCAGCAGCTTGAGCATGCGCGAGGTGCAGCCGTGCAGGGCCCGCTCACGCAGCGCGCGCTCCTCGGACAGCGTGGTGGGTCGCAGCTCCACGCGGTGCTCCTGCAGCACATGGTCCACGGAGGCGGGCGGCAGCCGGGGGAAGAGGCGTTCCTTCACCAGGTGGATGGGCACAAAGATGGCGCCGGCGCGCACCACGTGGGGGAAGGGGCACTGCTGCGTGCACACGAAGCTCTGCAGCTGTGACAGCAGCTTGCCCAGCAGCCCCTGCACAGCCTGGCAGTCCTGCCACGCCGCCCGGCCCCAGGGCCCCGCCGTCTCCAGCCACTCCCGCAGCTTCTCGGGCGGAGAGTGTGCCACTGAGCCCGAGATGGCATCGCACAAGGATGTGTGCAGGCCCGTGAAGTGTTGCTCTGGAGAGTCCGCTTGGGCTGGAGGAGAGGCTGGAGTCGGGGCCGGGGCCGGGGCTGGGGCCTGGGCAGGCGAGGGGGCCAGCGCGGGAGTGGGGGCCACGGCCACAGCGGGAGGACTGGGCAGCGCCATGTTGAAGCAGGCCATGGGCAAGGGCTGCGTGAGAATCTGGAGACCAAGGGGCACGGTGGTGGGGGTGGGTACAGCTTGGGCGGGCGCAGTGGCTGGGGTGGGCGCCGATGGGGCCACAGCTGCCGGCAGGGGTGCTGGCCGGAGGATCTTGAATTTTCGGAACATGAAGGCCACGGAGCTGTGGAAGTTGGTCCTTGGGGTGGTGGCCTCGGTGGCTGCCGGCACCCCGGGCAGCCCTGGCGCTTCCGTGACTATCTTTTCCAGCTCTGGCAGATCCGAGACTGTGTTCCCCACACCTGGCACATCCAGGGCTGCCGTGGTCCTGGCACGCACCTCGGGACTAGGAACCCGGACAGGAGCCTCTGCCAAGGGCTTCTTCACACTTAAGTCCAGGGCCACCTCCTCTCTAAGTGAGCAGGGAGCCTTTGAAGGGGCCTCCTGGGCTGGCAGGGTCCCCCCACAGTCTTTGGCAGGGCTCTCACTGGGGGCTGGGGCCAGGTCAGGCTCAGTCGAGTCCTCGGGAGCCTGCACATCCAGATAGTCACGGTAGGGGGCCAAGCTGAAGACATTGTCAATAATCGGCATCGGCGGAGAGCCGGGAGGCAGAGCACCCTTGTTCTGCAGCAGAGACTGGCGCTCCTGGGCGCATGGTGGGAGCGCTGGAGGGGTGCGTGGAACTGGGCTATCCCCAATGACAATGGGTGCCCCAGAATGCTCATCGAGCTGGGTCTGGAGCTGCTCTTTCCTGCAGCTGGGCAGCCACACCTTCTCCTCTGCCTCCTGGACTGGCTTCTCCACAGGCCTCACGGGCTCTGAGCAGGGCTGGCTGGCAGGCAGGGACTGGCATGCTCGCTGGAAGGCACTGGGCTGCACACTGGAAGGCACAGCCTGTACACTGTTTTGGGAAGGTGGCGTCCCTCCAAGCCCCGGGGATGCTCCATAGAGAGAGAGGTCATCCCGGGCATAAGGAAAGCCCAGTGTCTGGGCGGCAAAGTCCATTGGGCACCGGGGAGCAAGAGGTGGGTCCAGCTTGAGGCCTGGTGACGGTGCGGGGAGTGGGGCAGAGGGGTAGGAAAAAGTGTCCAGGCCCACTGGGGCCATATAGGGTGCCTGGGCAGCCTGCTGCCTCAGGTAGGGGCTGCTCAGCCCACCAGCTGGGTACCCAGCCCCCTTGTGGGCTCCCAGAGGCTGTAGGGGAAGCACTGAGCTGTAGCTCCCCTGCTTCTCCGGGTGGCGACAGGCTGGTGGGCAAGGCAGGGCCTGTGGAGGGTGAGGGAGCGGGTAGTGGGTAGGCACTGTATCCTGGCAGGCTGGCCCCAGCGGTTGGGCCAGCTGGGTCCATGGACTGGGAGGTCCGTCAGACAATGCCTGCTTGGGGTCCCCAGGGTAAGGACCTGCATATTTGGAGGCCAGCAAGCCTGTGTTGTGGATGGTCTGATACTTCTCCAGAAATGCCTGGCACGGGGAGAAGCTCACTGAGTTCTTGCCAGATCCCCCAGCTGGCACACCACGCAAGAAGGTGCCATCTAGGGACTGGCCCTTGCCAGGAGTTGGGGTCAGAGAACAAGACGGGTCAGCCGGGGGTAAGAGGGGTCCGGGCACCATCGTCCAGTCAACATCCAGTGGCCTCTTCGCTGCCCCATCCCCCAGGCAAGCCGAGAGCCCGTAACACAGAGGGCCGCGGTAGACAGGTTTCGGTGCTGCCAACGGTGGGCCTGGGTAGGAATGAGATTGGGGACCAAAGGGCAGGAGCTCAACAGGGCCAGGGTCCTGCACCTTCTCGGAGCTTTCTGCTGCTGGGCGGTAGAGCAGGCAACTGGTCAACAGGCTGTCTGTCCGAAGAGGGGGTCCTGCCATGCTGGTGGGGTACAAGGGTGGATATGGGGTCCAAGATGCCAACCGCTCAGACCCTGCCTTGGGAGCACTCCCCATAGGGCAGGAGAAGTAGGCACCCTTGTAGCTGCAGGGGTCCTGGTTACCAACAGAAGAGGACAGGCTGTGCCCAGGTCCAGAGTCTGCCTCCAGGCGGGGCAGCTTGCCATATATCACAGGCCCCAGGGTCCCCAGGGGCCGCTTCTCCGCCATCACTGTGAAGGCTTCAAGCCCTCAGGGGCCCCAGCTACTCGACTGCTGACCTGGGAGAGAGAGAAAGGTAGGGGCTGTCAGAACAGGCTACAGGCGAGCAACTGAGGGCTGCTGCTCTCACTGGCTCATCGCCGCACCTCAGAACCTGGCACTTAGCAGATGCTTGATAAAGCCTATGAATGAATGAATGCATGAGTCAGACAACACAGAGGTTTCCAACTCATCCCCCCTAGTCCCACTCCAGGAGCCCCTTCTGTTCAGCTTCTCCCCACGTGACTCCCCAGACCCCTTTCCTGCGGTTTCCGACTTTGCAGGCAGTCTGAGGATCCACTCGCTTGGCTACCCCTGTTCCCCATACACCGACGAGGAGACCTACTCATCCCAGTCACTGATAAAGGAGATGGGACCAGAGGAAGGCTTCCTACCTCCCCCTACAGCTCTTATTCCCAATGCCATAGGGATCTCAAGACGTCCACTACAGCCAAGATGTGGAACTGGACATTGTCTATGCATTCAGGTTTCCCAAGACACTCTTTAGGTCTGTCTGACTGGCCAATCTTACCAAAAATCTCAGAGCCGAGCCTGGAACCCAGGTCCCTAGGCCCAGAGCAACACAGATACCGGGCTCGGTTCCAAAGGGTAGGGCTATTCCCCAAGAGAAGCAGTGCACAGCATGGCTTCACAGGGGCCTGGCCCCCGGCAGGAGAGCTGAGGCTGTCCAGTAGATGGTGCTGTGGTACCAGCAGGAAGGTCCCAAAGTGTCCAGGAGGAGAGCCTGGGTTCCATCCCAGCCCCTCCGGGGCCCTTGGCTATTCAAGGCATGCAAGGGCAGCAGCACGGCCCCAGGGACAAGAAGGTAGGGAAGTGGGAGGATGCAAATGTCCAGGGAGGGAGTCCCCAAGGACCACAGAGTGCTAGGGCTACTTCCCCCACTGCCTGACAGAAACACTGAATGCCAGAGCAAGACTAAGTCCCTGAAGCAAGGGAAAGCAAGGATTGACACCCAGGCCCAGAGAAGTCAAGCCCGGGCTTTCTCAAGGCAGCAGGTACCCAATGACCCATGAAGGGTCACCTGAGGCCAGCCTTCTCAGGCCACATCATCCTGCCTCTACTTCCCCTAGCACCCTGTTCCCGAAACCCTCAGGTGGCTTAGAAAGGATGAATCAGCTCCCTCTTGCTATGATTAGGCCATGGGTCAGGTGCAAGCCACCACCAGCCCCTTCTTCCAGCCCTCTCCTCCCTTCTGGCTGGTGGCCAATGACAACCACAGTCTCATAAGGAGACCAACACATCTTGTGGACAAGAAAAGCCAAGGGTAGTAGGAGGGCCAATGCCCACTCCCATCCCTGCCTAACCACACCACGGAAGCCAGGTGGGACTCTGAAAAAGTTGGCTCTCCTGGCCAGAATCCAACACCTTAGCCTAGCCTAGAGAAGGGGATGCTCCCTAGGAGACACCAGAAGGGACATCAGGGTATGGTATTGAGAGCAATGCTCTATGACAGAGATTTGCATCCCAGACGCAAAGCCCCATCCTGGGGCACAGCAACCTTGCAAGAAGGAGTTATATGGTTTTTGGGGGTGCTAAGTAAGCGTCCCTCCCCACCACGGGGAGCTCTGGATTAATTAAGTGCTGGCTCTGGTCTCACCTCCCCCACATGCCCCTTGGAGCCTGCTCCACACCCACCCCAGCCCCAGGAGTCTTTTTCCCCCGGGGCTCTGCCCATTGCGAGCCCTTTGCCCTGGAGACTTCCTGAGACAGCCTTTCCCTCCACCCTGGGACCCAGTCAATAGAGGTGAAGCCATGTGGGACCCTCAGGAGTCTCTGAGGGAGAGACAGAGCTCTAGGGAGTCAGCAGAGGACTAGAAAGGGTATGGGGCTGACCTTACTACCTCCTGTCAGTAGAAAAAGCCCAGTGTACACTCCCTTGAGGGAGGCCCCTCCCCACTCAAGCCAGTAGCCAAAATGTAGGTGCCTCCTTCACACACACACACACACACACACACACACACACACACACACACGGAGGAGGAGGCAAGCAATTGCTTGGGGAAGGGGGGACCCCAGGGAGCAGGGTCACATTGCCCTTTGGGCCACCAAGCTGTTTGCTGGCTGAGGGCTGGGAGGACCAACCTCGGCCAGGGCTCAGAGCAGGGTACCAGAAAAGAGCCTGCCACCACTGCGCCCTCCCTGCCCTAAGCATCAGGGGAAGCACACAGCTTTTCCGTCTCCTAGCGACTCTCCGTAAGGCCAGTGGAAGTTGGGAGTTGGGAAAGACCAGGAAGAAGAGTGCCATCCTGCCAGGCTGGGGCCGGCCCCTAGAGCGCTGAATCAGGGCCCCTCCCCAGGTCCTCATACCTTCCCCAGTTGAGGCTCTGGGACCTACAGAACCTGGGAAGGGTCGCAGGACAGGCCTCCACCACCTTTCTCCTACCCGTCCCGCCCATATCGGTGGTGCCTGAGGCCCTCAGCCAACCTGGCTTTGGGGCTGCCGCCGCGCCTGACCCCGCGGACTTCCGGGTGTCCCTATGCTCTGTCCCTTGGCGCTGGGCCGCACGTGCACCCCAGCAGGCTGATCCATAGGCCGCAGCCACGCATGCAAATCCGTGCCTGCAAGTACGTGCACGGCCCACATTTGCACACACGCCTCTCCAGAACTGCGTTCTCGCCTCGCTCGGGCCCAGCACACGTGTGCACACAGCAAGGCCCGCGCACCCAGCCCCGAGGGCCGACACCCAAAGACTGCATGGAAGACAGGAGCAGGGGGCGGCCTGGCCGCAGTGTCCGGGCAGCTACCGCCTCGGGGCGATCCCGCCAGCCTGGGCTGCGGCCAGAAAGTGAGTCAAGCCGTAGCAAGGAAACCGCAGGGCCGTCCGGTCCCAGTAGGGCGCGTCCAGGGCCCCGCGGAGCCTCAGCGCCCGCCGCCGCCCCCCCAGGCCCAGCCCCCCGCCGCCCCCTCATCTCCGACCCGGCAGTCCACGTGAGCCGGACCCCGAGGGAGGCCCGAGGGCTCAGCCCGATCTCCTTCTTGCCAGTCCCTCGCTGGATCCGGCCAGAGCTTCGCTAGCGCCGCGGGGCGCTCCCAGGCCCCGGGGCCCTAGAAGTCTGGAGAAAGTCGGAGCAGCCGCGCGTCCCCGGCCCCGCAGACCGCCAGCCTGGGGGCCGACGCAGCCCAGAGCCGTAGCACCTCGGCCCAGGCCCGGCGTGCTCCATGCCCCGGCCGGCCGGTAGGGGAGCCCTGGGGCAGCGCCACCCGCCCCTTCTCCACGCGCCGCCCGCAAACTCGGCCCAACTTTCCGCGCCCGAGCCGGCGAGCTCCTACCTGCAGGGCGCCAGGCTTCTCGATGCTGCTGCCGGGGGCCGCGGCCGCATCCTCCGCCCTGCGGAGGCGGCGGGTCCTTGTCGGGCCGGGCCCTGAGCGGGAAGTCGCGGTGTACACCAAGCCAGGAGCCACCCTCCTCGCGGCCGTTCGCGCCGCCGCTGGGCGCAGTCTGCGGTCCCGGGCGGGGCGGGCTGGGGGCGGAGCGGGGGCGGGGCGGCCCGCGCAGTGGAGGCTGAGCCGGGCCGCGCCTCTGGGAGCCCGCGATCCCCTGGGCCCCGGGGGTGTGGAGGGCCTGCGGCGGCCAGCTCTACAAGAACACGGCCGCGCGTGCTGCGCACGGTCTGTACCCACCGCATCCCTGAGCCGTGGCTCAGCGCGCCCAGCACACGCCTTCATTCACTCCGTTAGATCATTCATTCGTTGTCACTTTCTAGCTACGTGGCCTCGTGCATGCCTCTTGACCTTGTTGGGCTTCAGTTTCCTTGTTTTAGTAAAAGTGGAATTACATCGTAGTGGTAGTGGTGTAAAGGCTTGGAAGAGGTTGTATTAAGATATCTGGCACGCAGTAGGTGTTCTGGCTCCCTTGGCAGGTACTAGTTGCATTTAGGAGCTGGGGAAGGACTCCTGAGTCTGTCCCCGCATCTCAGTGCGGCCCCTGAGGGCAAATTCCAGACAAATGTATCTCAGTCCCTGTTAGAGTACCACCTGTGTCTGAGGAAGGGGTGATTTCTCCATCACTGTAGTGTGCCAGGAATGAGGGTGCCTGCGGTTGGTAAGTGGCCTCAGTGGGTACCTCAACCTTTTCGGCAAACCTCCCTCACTAAGACAGGCCTGAACATGTGAAGCCTGGGAGGTGGGATGGGGTGGAGTGCTCCCAACCAGGAATGGTATGCTGCAGAGAGAGGGGCTGGAGGGGTGGACAGGCTGTCTCCATCTACCCAGACTCCTTGGGCCGTCTAATTCTGGATGTGAAGGCCCTCTGCGCTGCTACCTTCTCTAAAGAAACCTGGTCCCTAACAGTTCCTGGGCTGCTCAAGGACTAGGGACAGGTGTGTGCAGTGGAGGAGGGGGGAGACAGGTGGACATGCCAAGGGTCAGAGCAAGTTCATGGGGCAAAACCACCCAGTCTGATCCCAAAGGTCAGGGCTGCCTGAGTCAGAGGGCAGAGGAGGCCCGAGGCCATAAGTTCAGAGAGTCAGGCAGCAGCTGGAGCTGAGGAGGAGGGGCTGGACCCTGCAGGTAAGAAAAGGAAGAGGAAGTGGAGGTCACCTGGGGGGAGGGGAGAGAGTATCAGTTGAGAGCTGCAGGGTCCTGGGAGTCTGGAGTGATCTGAGGAGAGACTCAGAGAGGGTTGGGGCTTTCCCAGGGTTACACAGCACGCTGGGATAAAAACTCAGATCTCCTGGCTCCCACATCTTCACATCAGGAAAGTACACCTGTGCGCGACAACTGGGGGTCATGCCCAAGGCTCAGATCACAGGCTATTTGTCCCTACTCTTGTTCCTCACCACTCTGCCCTCCCCCTCTCCATTCTTTAGCGCAACACTCGTTTTCTCCCACCTTTGCCCACCTTTGCGCTGCTGCTGCTGCTGCTGCTGCTGCTGCGGGCAGGGGTGAGGAGTGGTGGGAGGAGGGCAGTATTCTCAGTTCTTAGGGCCTAGGACTCTCAGGTTGTGTGCTCAGGTCACCTGGTGTTCTCGCCAGTCTCGCTGAGCCCGAGTGGGACCCACCCAGGCCCGCATAAACCCGGGGGAGACCCTAGGGGCCAGTTAAGATTCTGCGGCCCCATTCTGAGTCTTGCCT